AGGTAACTGACTGTTTTTCTCTTGCTGCTTTTAAGATTCTCTCTTTGTCTTTTGCTCTTGGCATTTTAATTATGATGTGTCTTGGTGTGGTCCTCTTTGGATTCCTTTTGTTTGGGGTTCTCTGCGCTTCCTGGACTTGTAAGTGTATTTCTTTCACCAGGTAGGGGAAGTTTTCTGTCATTATTTCTTCAAATAGGTTTTCAATATCTTGCTCTCTCTCTTCTTCTGGCACCCCCATAATTCAGATGTTGGTATGCTTAAAGTTGTCCCAGAGGCTCCTTACACTATCTTCATATTTTTGGATTCTTTTTTCTTTTTGCTTTTCTGGTTGGGTGTTTTTTGCTTCTTTGTATTTCAAATCTTTGACTTGATTCTTGTGATCCTCTAGTCTGCTGTTGGAACTTTGTATAATATTCTTTATTTCAGTCAATGTATGTTTAATTTCTAGTTGGTCCTTTTTCATAACCTTGAGGGTCTCACTAGATTTCTTGAGGGTCTCACTAAATTTATTGGCGGTTTCACTAGACTTTTGACGGTATTACTAAATTTATCGGCGTTTTCTAGAAAATTCTTGAAAAACCTTATAAGTGTGGTTTTGAACTCTATATCCAGTAGTTTGCTTTCCTCCATTTCTGTCATTTGTGACTTGTTTCTTTTTTTTTTTTAATATATTTTATTGATTTTTCACAGAGAGGAAGGGAGAGAGATAGAGCGCTAGAAACATTGATGAGAGAGAAAAATCGATCAGCTGCCTCCTGCACATCTCCCACCTTGGATGCACCCGCAACCTAGGTACATGCCCTTGGCTGGAATCGAACCCGGGACCCTTCAGTCCGCAGGCTGACGCTCTATCCACTGAGCCAAACCGGTTTCGGCAGTGACTTGTTTCTTTGTTTCTCCATTTTTTATGCTTCCCTGTGTTGATAGAGTGGCTTTCTGTGCTAGGTGTCCTATAGGGCCCAGTAGCTCAGCCTCCCCAATTACCTGAGGTAGACACTCTTGGTGCACCCCTTTGTGGGCTGTGTGCACAGTCTTGTTGTAGTTAAGCCTTGATTGTTGTAGGTATCACTGGGAGGAATTGACCTCCAGGCCAATTGGCTGTGAGAATCAGCTGTGTCTAGGGTGGGAGAACTTCTGTGCTGGAGACACCCTTCTGGGGCAAGACTTGCTTCAGTGGGGCTTTGGTGCTCACTGAGTCTGCCCCCTGGGTGTGTCCCTTATGGATCTGAGGAGTTGTAATCTGGATGGTCCCACTCTGACCACTGGGTACACTGGCTCTTGGATCTCCAAGGAGGTGCTAATTTAGTCTCTGCCTGAGGCTACCCAGCAGGAGCTATGGAGAGATCTGCAGATTCCTCTTCTTTGTTTGGGGTTTGGAGGTTCCCAGATGAGGCCCAGCTGTGAAGCAATGCAAGCTGCTGTGGGGCCTTGGGCCTTCTTTTGGAAGTTCTGGGTCTCTCTGACCCAGCTGCATTTTGTTAGGTAATTTTCAGATTGCAAAGGGCCAGGCCTTTCATATGCAAAAGCCTCTGCGCACAGCTTGGGTGGGGTGGGGACTCAGGGGATCAACAGGGTGGAGCAAACAGCTATGGCAGATCCTCAGTCCTACCCTAAGAGGCCCTGCGTCTCAGTGTCCCGGTAATCACTGCGAGCACCTCTGAGAGAAAGCTGCCCTCGAGTTCCGACCGATGCCAGACAGTCCAGTTTCTCCCCGTATGAGTCTGGGTCCCCAGAGACTCGCCCTGAACTGGAGTTCAGAGATGTCAGGAGTTTGTGTCTCCCTCCCGATTGAAAGAGACAGCCGTGTCCTCAGTTGCCAGCCCTTTCCACATGCGCCTCCCTACCTCTGCACTTTACTTCTGCACCTCCTCTGAGTCTCAGTGTGCTTTTCTCTTTCCTTCTAGTTGTAGAATTTCCACTCGGCCAGCCTTCCTGTGGTTCAGGATGATGTCCGTTTTGTCTTTTAGTTTTATTTTTGAAGTGGTTGTGCGAGACAGCAATTTCCGGTGCTTAACTATGCCGCCATTTTGGTTTCTCCTAAAATGCCGACTTTTAATGTAGTAGTCATACTTCTAGGAATTTTCCTAAGTAATTAGCTAAGTTCATACATAAGGATTTATCTTCAAAGATGTTCATTATAGTGTTGTTTATATAGTGAATAACTTAGAACAGTGTAAAATCTTATATTAGGAGCATCTTAGTTTAATGAAATATGGCATGTCCAAATAATAAAATTTCATGTACAATATAAATTTTTTTTTTTAATTTTTTTAAAAAATATATTTATTGATTTTTTTACAGAGAGGAAGGGAGAGTGATAGAGAGTTAGAAACATCAATGAGAGAGAAACATTGATCAGCTGCCTCCTGCACACCCCCTACTGGGGATGTGCCCACAACCAAGGTACATACCCTTGACCAGAATCAAACCTGGGACCTTTGAGTTCACAGGCCGACACTCTATCCACTGAGCCAAACCAGTTAGGGCGAATATAAAATGTTTTATATTTTTGAAGATTACTGAAAAATATAGGAACATACTCTGTTTATTTTAAATATATACAGAATGTTACAAACTATGTAAAATATTTCTGTCTCTGCATTTATATAATGAGCCTGTATGACTCTTTAATCAGAAGAGGTTATTTATGAAATAGTCATATAAAATATTGAACATTCTAATTCAATTTTAGAAAAACATAATAGTTTCTTCTTTAAAAGAAGCTCTGAAGTAAAAAGTTGAATCCAGCATTGTAATGCAAAAAAAAGGAAGCATCAAGCTACATGAAGTAGGTTGGTTAATTTTCTACTGATGTGGGGCATTTACCATTTGTCTTTAAATTCACATCCACTTTATACAAAGAGAGAGACAATACAATTTTCAAGAAAATTAAAAAACCTAGTGTGATATTTGTGGTTCTGGATTATATATTGGTGGTTTCATAAAACACTATCATATTTGCAAGGAATCCACTTAACATCATGCAAAGGTAGTAATGGTTAGCTGTTCAGCCATGGAACATTCTTTCATGTTTAGTAAAGACCTGTCTTTTACAAAGCTATCATCTATGCTATATTTGTTCTTAGAATTTTGGAACACGAATTGTAATTGATGATTATTTTATATGTCTCAAATCAAATCCAAATGATTTCTTTTCCCCTCTCTTTACGTTCAGCCTTTTCTGTTTACATAACTACTTTGAGGATGTTAACAAACAGATTCTTTTTCCTGGGCAATGTCTATCCTCCAAATTATGTTATTTAGGGGATCATGATCCAATGTTTAAACTAGAATGTTTTCCAATATACTGTCTCTTACTGTATTTTAAAAGTAGTTTGAGAAGTGTACAATATGGGTTTGTCAATAGACTTGGGTTCTACTAAGAAAATATGTACTTTGTCTTGACTCAATAAACTCATACTTAGTATGGTTTAGCCTCTTCATATTTACTTTTGCCCATATTAGAAAACAATTAGCTTACTAAACAAATTTGAGAATTTGGTGGTGGGTGGTTGTGGGGGGGGGGGTGATCCTCTCGATGAATCTCTTTTGAATTTGACTAAGAATTATACAATATTTGATAACCATGTTTAAAAATGGAGATATCCAAATATTATTGTAAACACCCAGTGATTTGTTTTACCTACAATATAAGTATTTTACTTGGTTGGCTTACATAGTAGCTAATAATATTTGTTAATGTGATTTAACTGCTGTGAACCTTTACTGAACAAATATTGAAATTTATTCAAGTCAAAGAAAGAGAATCTCTAATGACTTTTGTTAAGGCTTCTATTTAATAGTTAAGGACAAAAGTTTGTATGACATACGAGATGCAATTAACAGTAGATTTTACATTTAATAAAAAGAAAGAAGCATGCGTATTTGCTTTATTCATTCCATCATAATTTGCAGTAGAGCTGTGGGTGTTTAATGAGCAAATTCCAGCTAAAATGCTATATTGATTTTCTAGTGAACTTTGTAATAGTCATCCACCTTGGAAAAGCTCAGTGTTTACAATTAAGTTTTCTTTACTAAAAATGTTTGAGAGTTGCATATTGATCCTTTGAAAGTACTGAATTCTAGAAAGAATCATGTTTTTCATAATCAGATTTTACATAAAAGATAATAAGTGTTAAAATTATCATTCAGTAATACTTTAATTTTGGAAAAATATCTTAGCATTTATAAAATACCTATGAATGGAATAGCTGAATCTTATGGTCATAGCTGTATGTTTAATTTTTTTAAAAAGCAATTGACAAACTGCTTAATCTATTCCCCATCCGTCAAAATACTCTCTTACATACCCTTACTTTCCTTGAAAACCTTTACTACCATCTGTTATTCTATCTATCTATCTACCCTCCTGACTTTGGTGTTTGTTGTTTCCATGCTTATTTTAATATTTTTCGTAATTGTGTCTATCCATAAATAATAGGTGGAGTTGTCTTGCTTTGCAACTTGCTGGTTTTGTCAAAATTTCATTTTTGAGATTTGTCCATAGTTAATTCATTTTAAAGGCTGGATAGCATTCCCATTTTGAATGTAAAGTGTTATTTATTCTCTCTCCTGTTGCTGGACATTTGAGTTATTTCTAGTTTTGCTGTTATATAATGCTACGGTAAGCATTTTTATACATGTTTCCCTATGCTTATGTACAAGAATTTCTGTAACCAAAGAGGAGATTTGCCAGGTTATAAGCTACAGACATCTTCAACTGTAATAAATATTGTCAAATTCTTCTTGACAATTGCAAAATTATATGTGAGAATTATTTTTATTTCACAAGATCACAATATTTGTTATTATTTGACCTTTTAATTTTTTATTTTATGGGTGTAAAATGGTAACTCAATTTTACAGTAGCTTTTAAAAATAATTTTTGTCAAGTGATTAATTGATACCAATTTAGGTGAATAAAAGAAAATTATTTTTGTTAAAAGTATGCATTTCTCCTTTATTTTCTCTAATTAATTTTGGATGATATTTTTTGGTAGCTCTGGTTGAAGAGGTGTATTTTGCACAGAGGGAACGTGATGAAGCTATTATGTCTCGACTACAAATAGCCAATGAAGAGAGAGATGAAGCAATCGCACGAGCCAACCATATGGAAATGTCTCTAAAATTGTATGTACACATTTAAAACTATATGACATTAGAGGCATTTATAAAGTGTATGCATTATGTGATTACATATTCAGAAATGTTACTGATTCTTTTGTGTTACAGTTGTAAATTCCATATCTCCATAGTCTTTCTCAGACTTCTGGCATGCTGTAGTAGTTTGCATGTCAGGAATAGCAGCTACCACGCACACACACACACACACACACACACACGAAGAAAACAAGAAATACACAACACTGAGTACACTTACTTTCTTGACTTCTTCATAGTTCTGTTGTCGATGTCCTTACTCTTGTCTTCTTTTGTAACTTCTCTTTTCTGCACTTCAAGATGCTTCGGGTCTCGAAATGTGCCACTCCCATCCCGGAATCATCCACTCCTTAAAGGAACCCCGATTCCTTTTATTGGAAAGTGGTATTAGAAACCAAGATCTGGATGCCAGATGTGCTCATTGTTGCTGGGTGTGACTACTTCTAGGCCCAATCAGAAGAAAGAGCTAGGAAATGTAAGGTGGGGCAAAAGTAGGTTTACAGTTGTGAGTATGCGAAAGAGTTTATTCTTGTATTAATATTTAATTATTGTATTATTTTCCACTTAAACAACTATAACCCTACTTTTGCCCCACCATGTATATTTTTATAGTTTTTATTATATTAAAATTAGGATACCTTAAGGCTGAGTCTTTTTTATTTTGTTCTTGTAGCATTCATAATAAGGGAGAAATGGGTAAAGGGGAACAGGAGAACACTCAATCCCAAGTTAATTAATCTATTTAATAAATATTTATCAAATATATACTGTGTGTCAGGTTCAGTTCTGTTTGCTGAGTGCATAGCATTATAGTCCCAGTTTAGGAAGAAGACATTAAGTAAATAATTACATAAATACTTAAAATAATATTAACTAATATGAGGAATTATTGCTTCCTAGGATCAGTTTATAGTAATTTCTTAATGAATTATAATGTAGGAGTACATGTGGGGGGATTAGGAAAAACCATAAATCAGAAGGAAGAACAACAACAAAGGCTAATATATCAGCACAGTTTTAAATGGCACTGTACAGGTTCCTTTCTACTTAGCTGAAGCATGTAGGTTCTGAGCGTTCAATAGTGCATTTAAATGAAATCCTTCTTAAGATAGAACCTGTTTTTAACTGAGCTTTGCTTGACGGAGGCACATTTGGAGGTATTGAGTATAGGTTGAAATTATAAATTATTTCACATCTCTTTTTTAATTCCTATTTTTTGCTTCTTATAGTCTTCAAATTTCTTCTGTCATTTTTTTTCTCTTCTCCTTACCACTTCTGATCGCTGTATCTTTAATGCCAAATGTGTTTTGTTTTATTATTCTGCCACTTCTCTGCCTTTCCTTACCCCTTGAATGTTTAGTGCTTTTTTTTCATTTTTACTTTTATCTAAAAAATAGGAAAAAAAAACATGTTTGCATATGTATATTGCAACTTTTGAGATTATGGTATGTTGTGTCTCTGTTATTCTTGGTATATTCTTCATTAAGAGTGGAACTGTGTAAAATGAGACTGATAAAAACAATTTAGAATTTTCTTATTTGGTCTTTTAGCATGTGAGGTTCTTTCCATTGAACAAGGAGAATGATTATAGGTTCAGAAATGAAAGACATAATATTGAGTGATTTAGGGATAAATCAAGAAATGTGACATTTTCTGCATGGGTCTTTTCACTTAGAGTGCAAGGCTGTCAGTCAGAATTTGCATGGTATAGGAAATCAATTGAAACTTGAGCCCATGGACATTTACTTCAGCAAAATTCTTACTAATTATCATGTCTATGTCTAGTTAGAATGTTATAGGCATAATTAAGAGTTTACAGAAGGTTGAGATTCTTGTGTGCAATTGTAAACCTCATAATAATGATTTATAATTTGTAGTTTCTCAGCTATACTTCATATCACACTATTATTTTAAGTCTTAATTAAACCAGTAAAGCTTTATGTTTTGTACATGCTACTAGTAAGCCTTAAACTTCAAAAGACATTTTATATAGAAAAGTGAAGCCATATATAGCTGTATTATAGTTTTTTTCCCCTAATGGTCTATTTTTTGTCTAATTTTTATGTTTTCTTTTAACTGATAAAGTCAGTTATATACTTATTGTAGAACTGAATTTAACTTTCTGAAACCACTTTTTTTATGATTAATCTTTAACTAGACATTGAACGATCCAGTTAAAAAAAAAAGTCAAATATACTGAATTGGCCCTTAAAGTGTATTAACATACAAACCTGGCCTCGTTTTTCAATACTCTATATCAGGGGTCAGCAAAGTAAAGACCTGTGGTGCAAGTTCAGCTTCACCTGTTTTTGTAAATGAAGTTTTATTGGAAGGCAACCACACCTGTTCATGTGTTCATTAGCTGTTACAAAGGCAGGTTTATTGTGTTACAAAGGCAGGTTAGTAGTGTGACAGAGAACGCATGGCAAAGCCTTAAATGCTATCTCACCCCTTACAGGAAAAGGTTGCTGTCCTTGCTCTATATAATCTAATTGAGACTAAATTATAATGTAGTTGATCTTTGCTACCTGTGACAAGTATTTCTGAGACTTTTAAATGACTACAGATAGAAAATGCAAGTATTGGCTTTTTGTCTTTCGAAATTTATGTTTTTATTGCAAGTTACTTTGTTTCTATGTAAACTTTCGAATCCCAAATTATCATTTGTTCATTTTTTTATTTTTTTAATATATTTTTATTGATTTTAGAGAGGAAGGGAGAGGGATAGAGAGATAGACACATCAATGATGAGAGAGAATCATTGATCAGCTGCTCCTGCATGCCCCACACTGGGGATCAAGCCCGCAACCCAGGCATGTACCCTTGGCCAGAATCGAACCTGGGACCCTTCAGTCTGCAGGCCAACGCTCTATCCACTTAGCCAAACAGGCTAGGGCTCATTTGTTTATTTTTATTAAAGTTTTATTTTTCTCCAAATGACCATTTATTACTGACTTCAATTTTAAAGTATAATTTAGCAAAACAAAATTGCGATGTAAATGCTAAGTGGTTGACTTGGCTCACTCTTGCCCTGCATGTCAGACCCGGCATACTTGCGAAACATGATTCCAGTTTCTTCATCAGCAAAGTGGTCAGTCACTAGATATTATGTACTTTTAAGGATAATCACATAAATTAGTTATAGTCTGAATGCTAAATTCATGTGCCAAGGATTTAGTATAAACTTTTGATAAGAAAATTTAATTTTAAAAATTCTAGTTGTTAGTAGGGAATGTTAATATTAGCCTGCATACAATTATCTTAAACATATCCTGTTGAAATATGTTAATTTAGAACATTGAAACCCTCTGGTAAGGTAATAATTCCTCACATAGCAGTGCGTGAAAAAAACTAACAAGTATTACATAAGCATTCCATATACTTCTTGTTATGTTTATTATTTATAATATACATATTAGGTAGCCTACTTATGCTGTTATTTTTCTTCCTGAACATATGTAATTCTTTGAAACAGAAAAGGGAGATTTATAACCTGTAGAACTAATTTTTTTTTTTACAAAAGTTGCCAGTGATCTGCTAATCTAAATGTTCGATTTTAATGTAGCTTTTTACATTTTAAATTATCAAGTTTAATAAATAAATTTTGAAGTTTAAAAGTTTAAGTTGAGTTTTGTTTGGCATTTGCCATAATAAACTCTTAGTCTGATTTCATTGAAAAATAACAACATTAAGGTAAATATTTCTCACTACATATGGCTTCCCTTTTATTTTTTAAAAATATTTTTATTGATTTCAGAGAGGAATGTAGAGGGAGAGTGAGATAGAAACACCAATGATGAGAGAGAATCATTGATTGGCTACCTCCTACACACCTCACACTGGGGATAGAGCCCACAACCTGGGCATGTGCCCTGACCCGGAATAAAACTGTGACCTCTAGTGCCTAAGTCGACACTCAACCACTGAGCCATGCCCACCAGGCTATGGCTTCCTTTTTTAAAATCATATTTATCCAACCAGTAACTGATGGTTGCACCATTCTTCAAATTCCTTTACATGTTCATAAATTAGCCGTAAGAATTTTATCTTACACTTTTCCACTATGCTTTTTAAGTGATTGAAAAATAAGTGATTGTCTTCACAGTTCTTGTAGAACAAGCCTTTATGAAGCAGGATATTTGGAAACTGTTGATTTATTTTGGCAGAGAAAAGATGAGAATGTTTGCCCTTGTTGAAATGTGGCAAATCCAAGAAGACATTAGTAGTTTAAGATGCAATAAGTTTATGTAATTGAAAATTACTTTCTTGTTAACTTATACTGCTTAAGTCTGTGTGGAAAATTCTTTATATATATTTTTTCCTGTTAAGATGCATTATTCTAAAATTTATACTTTCCATCAAAGTAGCTATTTTATTGAATTGTAGAGTTTGGGACAATTTTGTAACAAATTTATTGTGCCTTCTATTATCTTTTCCTAGTATCCTTTTTTTGTGGTAAGTGTTAAATCATAGGAACACAGAAATGGTGGTGGTGGGGGCTTGAATAGCTAAACTTGGTTATATAAACTTTTTAGTACAATTTTAAAATAATTGAGGGCCATTTTAAAAATCTACATCATTTTACTAAAACTCATTACAGATTTTTATTTAACTTACCCGATTTAGTGGTTGCCTAGATTATAAATATTTTCTAAGCTATATCGTTTAAATTTTCTTCTTTATTGCATTTCTTCAATTTCTAAAATCAATAGTCACTTCTGTAAGCACTGTGACTCTTATAAGACAAAGTGAATTTTTGAGGGGACCCAATTTGCTTTCTTTGTCTCTAATTGAATAATTCTATATTTGTAATGAAAAAGAGAAAATAACATTAGTCTTCTAAAAATATGGTTCAGTTTTAGTCAGCCTTTCTGTATAGTATATTTGTTTTAACAAACAGGTAGCAGTGGGAGATTGTCAAGTCAAATTTAGAGGTAATTATTTGTCATTGCTTTCGAGGTAACATAGGTAAAATTTGTAATAAAAAAAACTTGCCTTGTTTTATTTGTAATAATGTCCAAAAAACAGAGGAATCATAGTTTCAGGTAAGAATTGAAAGTCCAGGAATAAATATAATGATGAGAGTGAGTGCTCCTATCGCTGGGGAACTTTCTTCATCTGAGCACATATGAACAATTGATCCTTGTAGTCATATATAGCAGTAAACATTAATAACTTAACAGTCTAAAGTCAGTGCAGGAGATATGGAGCATTATTGAAAGATGGAGTCGAGCAGGTGGCACTTTAATATGTTCAGTGTCATGGTTGACTCTAAAGACTAGTCGAATGAAATTACTTGAGGTTCTAAAGATTTAAAAAGCGAACTCATTTTGCTGCACTAAGGAAATGCTACTGATCAGGCTTTCTGTGTCCCTTTTTTCTAGGCTAGAAAATATTAACCCTGAAGAAAATGACATGGTAAGCCATTCTCTGAGGAGATTTCTGGATGTCAGTCTTATATCTTAGAGGCTTAAGTTCAATTGAGTGGGTTTCAAGAACTAAGATGTGGGAAAAAGAAGAATTGACACACTAATAATGTACATCTTTGCTGCGATATGAAAATTCAATAACTTTGCTCAGTCAATTTACAATTCACATGTGCCTATTAATTAAAACCCTATATTAAATAAAATATATTAGAACTTCATGTCTGACTAACATATAATGGTGTTGGTAGACATTACAGGAATTACTGAACAGAATAAACAATGCAGACACAGGGATGGCTATTGAGAAGAATGGAGCTATTATTGTGGATAGGATCTACAAGACCAAGGCATGTGAAAAGAGAATAACTGCAGAAGAAATGAACGCAGTGATAGAAGAACGCGATGCTGCTTTGTCTCAGGTAACTGCATGTATCTGCAAAAGCATCTACTTACTGTTTCCCCGTCCTTTACCATTAAAAAAATGACTTTTCCCACATATTCTTAATTCAACTCAGTTATTACCATATAATTAATATCAGGATAGATATATGAATCACATCTTTTGTTATATCAGTCTTCAAATACATGCATCCTCATTTCTGTTAGCTTGTTATATAACTATAATTATGTTCTTTAATCACTCGAACATGAGATCGACTTCTTATTTGAGTCGCAGTTTTGTGAGGGCTGAGATTATATCTTTATTACTCTTTTATTCCCAGTGCCTAATTCAGTGCCTTTTAGTAAATATTGATAAATGAATCAAATTATTTGTGTATTCTTTTCTGAATATCACTTACATCTTCCTGCTCTACCCGAAACCTGATTGCCTCCCTGCGGCTCCTGCTCCCGCTGCAGGCCTGTCAGGCAGTGGTGGTATTCCCTCCTGCAGTTATTCCAGTGGCATGAAGGCTGGTTCCTCTACTCGTTGGTGTTTTTAGATCATTGTTTTGTTTTCCTCTCTAAACTCCTCCAGCTCCAAAGCTCATGCATCAGATTGTACCACCTGTACATACTCCTGTTGAACTCATGTGCACACTCCTATGTCTCTTCATTTCTTAAAAATTTAGGATGTCTTTTTCTGTCTCTTCATAATTCTTGTCATAATTCTTGATGATTTAACTACGTATGTAGATGATTTTTTTTAATATCCCAGCCTCTCATCTTGAACTTCTCTTCTCCAGTCATCATGTCTTCTGCGCTACTTCTGCCACCCCCCCCCCCTACGGTCACATCCTATCCCTGGTTATCATCCGTCTCCATTGCAAGCCTCTCGGTTTCTGACCACCACTTATATCTTTCCAGCTCACTTACTCTAGAACTATGACTCTGGAAACTTTTCAACTGGCACCTATTTCTGTTACCCTACATATTTTCCTATCCCTCAAGCTTCTTATGTCCTCACTTCCCTCTTTATCTAGCTTATATTTCATGGCTCACCATAATTATCACCAACTTAAATATAATATGAGCTTAGTTCTCTTGGCCCTCTCTTCCTTTGTCCTACTCACCCAGCAAAGCTTAAGCCTTAAACATTTAACTTTCTATGCCTGTTCTATGCCTTCATGTATTTATATAGGAGGACAATATCACATAAATTTGCAAACTGAACTTACCTTAAATTTATGACCACTGTCTTCAAGTAGACCCTGATGTTACCTGACAGTCTTCAGCTTTTTTGTTAGTCCATTCACTCTTCCCTCTAGAGCAGTGGTCAGCAAGAAAAGATAAAATAGTCCTCCAGAGCCATGGTCGGCAAACCGCGGCTCGCGAGCCACGTGCGGCTCTTTTGGCCCCTTGAGTGTGGCTCTTCCACAAAATACCAGCTCTTCCACAAAATACCGACTTCTGCGCATGGGCCACAAAGTTTCAATCGCACTGTACATGCGCACCCACACATGGTATTTTGTGGAAGAGCCACACTCAAGGGGCCAAAGAGCCGCATGTGGCTTGCGAACCGCGGTTTGCCGACCATGGCTCTAGAGAACTATTTTATCTTTTCTTTCTTCTCAGATGTTTCCTTCTCCTTCCAGATGGGCAAATGGACTCTTCTTGCCATTTCACCCACCAGCCAACCTGCATTTGCACTCATAGTTCTAACTTTTCTAATTTATTTCTTTTTTTCTACATGCATCCATTTAAGAACAACCTCTATTTCTGCACTAGTTCACATGTTTTCTTGCCTGCTTAAGGTTATCACCTAACCAACCAGTTGTCCCTTTTCTCTCCTACTTTATACAATATTTTCTATTAGTTCATGTCTATCACTATCTAAAGTGCTCTAGTATCTTCCATACATACTTCCATGGTGATGTTTTGGTAAGTCTTGGTCTACTTGAGGTTTTCCCTAGCACTTTTTTCCTTCTCAAACTGAGAGCTGTGTATCCACTAGTCCTAGCAGATCCTGTATTCCAGTGTTTGTCTCCTCAACATTGTAAAATTGTGGGACACTCCATTATTCTTTTCAGGGGTTTTAGGACTTAGCTGTAACTTCAAGCCCCATGCAGGTTTGGGATTTTGCAAATTATTTGAAGTGGAAACAATTCTCAAATCTCCAATTTTGCCACTTAAGTCCAGACTGCCAAAAACCTAGAATTTCTCTGTCCTCCACAGAAGTCCTCTGTGTGTCCAAAGCCTGCTTTCTTTGCCCTGGCCCATGTCTCAGTCTTTAAAACTCAGCTGGGGAATGACTGCAGATCTTCAAATCACCTCTCTCCAGTTAGCCCCTCCTCAGAGCTTAGTCACTTGGTCATTGTTACGGCAGCAGCCTTCAGATGATTTTTTAATTTATCTGGCTTATTCTTGGCTAGAGCATTGTTCTGCCACAAATTATTTCATCCTATCTAGATACGGAGATATGACATTTATCTTTAGATTAGAATCAGAAAACGTCCTTAAACTTTTAAGATGGGCAAATGTTTTTACCATTGTTCTCTACCAAGTGTGTTCAATCTAGGATCATTCAATATATTGTTGAAGAGATAGCCAAAACTAGTTTAATGTGCTAGGAAATAATCCTATATAATAAAAGGGTAATATGCAAACTGACCCTAACAGCAGAAAAACTGGGAATGAATGGTCACTGTGACACACACTGACCACCAGGGGGCAGACGCTCAATGCAGGAGCTGCCCCCTGGTGGTCAGTGCGCTCCCACATGGAGGAGCTCTGCTCAGCCACAAGCCAGGCTGATGGCTGCCAGTACAGCAGTGGTGGTGGGAGCCTCTCCCGCCTTTTCAGCAACGCTAAGGATGTCCGACTGCAGCTTAGGCCTGCTCCCCGCTGGCAAGTGGACATCCCCTGAGGGCTCCCTGGCTGCCAGAGGGATGTCTGACTGCCAGCTTGGGCCCCATCCCCCAGGGAGCGGCCTAAGCCAGCAGGTGGACATCCTCCGAGGGGTCCCAGACTGCAAGAGGGCATAGGCCGGGCTGAGGGACCCCCCCAAATGCACAAATTTTTGTGCACTGGGCCTCTAGTTATAGTATAAAGTAAAACATTTGATTTTTTTAATCACTTGTTTATTTTTTAATCTTTATTGTTGAGAGTATTATATATATATCCCCCTGTTTTTTCCCCATTGCCCTCCTCTATCCGGTTCCTGACCTGCCCAAGCCTTCACCACCCTATTTTCTGTGGCCATGGGCAATGCACATATACATATAAGTTCTTTGGTTAATCTATTCCTGCCCCTTCCCCCTTGCCTTTGAGATTCCTCAGTCTGTTCCATGTTTCCATGCTGCTGGTTCTATTTTATTCATCAGTTTATTTTGTTCATTGGATTTCTCATATGGGTGAGATCATGTGATACTTGCCTTTCTCTGACTGACTTATTTTGCTTAGCATAATAATTTCTAGGCCCCTCCATGCTGTCTGAAAGGGTAAGAGGCCCCCCCTTTTTTTACAGCTGCATAGAATTCCAATGTGTAAATGTACCACAGTTTGTTAAGCTATTCATCTACTGATAGGCATTTAGGCTGTTCCCAGATCTTAGCTATTGTAAATAATACTGCTATGAACATAGGGATGTTTATATTCTTTCTGGTTGGTGCTTCAGGATAGGATGTTGAAAAAAGAGATAGAGGAAGGTATAAACAAGTGGAAGCATATACTGTGTTCATGGATTAGAAGAATTAACATCATTAAAATGTCCATACTACTCAAAGCAATGTATAGAGCAGGGGTGGGCAACCTTTTTGTGAATGCGTGCCAAAACCAGCAAAATCTCTGACTCAAAATTCTTCTGCATGCCAAACCTAATTTTTTGAGAACATGTTATGCCTACTTGATATCTCTTAAGGTGTACGTATGTGAAGAACCTTGAAGAAATAATAAAATTCATTCGAGCAACAAAAACACAGTATATGATGATGAAAAATACATTTATTTTTTAATGTATACATGTACACTGATAGTCCGACAAAAAACGTTATGACTCCGTTTCATATTATCAGTGGGACTTTTGCTGCTGCATCAATGATGACAGAGATTTTACATCAGGTTTATATTTCGTGACCTTCAGAGATATGCACGAGCTACTACTTTCATCGGTCAGGCTACTCCTATTACGAGACTTAACAAAATTCATCACTGAGAACAAAGATTCACAAGCGTATGTGGATGAAAACATGGAGAGTGACGCTGTTGCAAAGTTTTTTAAACAGAAAAAATTTTCTGGAATGGCATTCCAAGTCCTCAATAGTTCGTTTTCGACAATTCTCTCTGGTACTCCTGTATCTAATCACTTTTTTTCAATGTTTTCCAAGTCAACTCTAAGGTCAATAAATTTCTGCTTCCAAATTGAGCTACTCTGAAATTCAATCAACTGCATTTCAAAGTCAGCCATGTCTATCCATGAAAACATTTGTAAGTTTAGTTCCTCTAGTTTCATGCTGTCTGGAAACCTCATGAATTTTGCTGTCTCTTCCAGTTCTCTGAATTTCGCAAATCTTGAGAAGAACTGCTCAGTAGTTGACTCGATGATGTTTAAAAACAGCTTTTGAAGGCTTTGACAGTCTGTTCTGTCATCTTTTGGGAGGTCTTTGATGTGCCTCTTGAGGTTTGGGAAATATCTAAATCTCTCACCATCCACATCCCTCTTAAAGACTTCCAGTTTCTTTTCAAAAGCCTTTATGTAACCAAACATAACATCAAGTGTCTTGCCAGTTCCTTGTAATTTAACATTTAAGTCATTCAAATGTTCACAAAAATTGTAAATGGAAGATTATAAGAGAGGGTTTTGCGTGCCAGCAAAAGTTACTGGCGTGCCATGTTTGGCACTCGTGCCAGGGGTTGCCCACCCCTGGTATAGAGTCAATTCATTCCCTAGTAAAATACATATTTCGGCATATTTCACAGATCTGGGACAAATACTCCAAAAATTTATACAGAACCAAAAAGACCCAGAATAGTTGCAGCAATC